GAAAGATTGAGAGAGTTTGTGGAGTCAAAGGCTTCCCGAGCACCAGGTTCCCACTGCAGCTTCCTGTGGCTGTGCAGGGGCCAGGTGGAAGGGGCTGGGCTGGAGGAGAGTGAGAAAAAGGCATTTTGTCTGGCAGCTCCTAGCTCTCCCTCTCACCCCAGAGCAGCACTCAAGTGTCTCTTGAGTTCATCAGGCAGGCAGAATGTGAGAACGTGCACATGCGCATGTGTGGACATCTCTGCTTTCACCGTCACTATCAATATTGGCCCAAATAACAGAGATGCAGACAGCAAGCACACAAGGTGCACTTCGTGTAAATATAACCCTGGGAGCCAGCTCCATAGTCTTGTGGTTACGGCAGCCGGGTCCCATATGGCCAACTGCATGCTTTTTCAGATCCTGCAGCTTGAGAAACACACCAGGCATGTGTGCATGTGTGTCCACGACCCTAAAAAGATGGAGAGGTGGAGGAGAAGGGATTGTGGTATGACCATTTCCCATGGAGGGTGATTTCCTCCCTCTCTCTCGCTCTCTCTCTGTCTCTCTCTCTGTCTCTCTCTCTGTCTCTCTCTCTCTCTCTCTCTCTATATATATATATATGCTTCCTGGAGGCAAGTAAGTTTGTGTGGTTGAGGGAACGTACAGGCCCTAGGGCTCACGGGCCTCTCCCGTTTCTTTCAGGGACCCCTCATCTGCCCACCCGGTCCCATCAAAGCAGCACTTATTAGTCAGACAGGGTTGGTGCCAACTGGTTGGCCATTCTGCTTGCTGCCTGGGCTAGAGGTCATTATTAGTAATTGTATCTGTCCGAGAGGGCTCTGGCTGCCTGCCAGTCCTGGTTCCTGCCTTCCTCTGGCCTGTCCTGGGAAATGTCATCATCAGCACAAATCCTCCCAGGGGCCAAAGAGGGGGACACTGTGGAATGTCCCTTTGTAAAGGTCATCTGCCTGACAACTTGAGGCTGACACTGCACAAAGAAAGAGGTGGAGGTGGGAACAGAGGCTGAATCTGAGGATCTTCCAGTGCCCTTTGACCCCTGTTATGTTCCTCACAGCTCCACAGGATGCTGGGGTGACCTCAGATTTCAGTCATCTGAGGGGACACAGCCAAGGTCACTCAGAACCCAGTGAGAGCCTCTCCTAGGAACACACTCCAAACCCACCCCCTTCACACAGGGCAGGGAGTTCTGCTTGTTCTGAGAAACCCAGCTGAGGGGACCTGGTGAGGCCCGCCCCTGCTCTCCGGGTGCTTCTTCTGGACCTCTCTCCTGGGCAGCCTGGAGCATGGTGAGGCTGAGGGTCCATGTGACCAGCCTTCCTGGGGACAGAGCTGAGAGACCCAAAGGGGTTTCTGCATGTCTGCCAGGGCTCATCCACCCTCCCAAACCCCAGATGCCTGAGCAGTTGGCATGCATCCTCTCCTCCCCTCCCCACTGCCTCCCACTCAGAGCAGCTGCCCCAGCTGACCCTTCAAGATGCAGAGCAGGGGTCTCTAGCCTTCTTAGAAAGGATTTTCCAGCTCTCAAAGCCCCTCCTGTTTCTGCCCGGAGACCTCGAACCAGGCCATCTGTCCTGCTGTTTCTACACTCAGGCTGCTGGCCATGGCCACTGGCAGAGAATCGTCAACAGACACCCAGGCCTTGGGCATGCCCGGAAATGGGGAAGGGGCTTCAGTGCACAGAAACTATAGAGCCCACCTCTGACCCCTTATCAATTATACCCACAAGCACCTGGGAGTCATAGGGGAAAGAGGTAGGCCCAAGGCCATATGAAATTGGGCTCATTTAAAAATCCAAAGCATCCTTTAGGGGTGAGTATAAGATTCCCCAAAGAATACTGAACTAGCCAGGCAGTGGGGACAGCACTGACTAGGCCTGTCCCACCTCACTTCCTGGCCACAGGCATGCTGGGCTGGGCCTCGGGGGCTCAAGGGCTGGGGGTCTCTGAAGTTCAAGGGCTTGGGGGACTTGGTGGGTTCAGGGGCTCAGGATCACAAGCCCAAGAAAAAGTAGGTTACGATAACTCCTTGTCCCCCACCCCATGCCCTCTAGTTACTGAATTTCAGGGTTTCTCCCTAAGGACATCAGGCTCCCCCCTTGCTCTGTCACAGACACTCTCCCCAGTGCCCTCACTCTCTGCTCTTCATTATGTGTTGCCTGAAGAGGGCAGCCCTCCCTGCCCCTTCTGCCAAGTCCCCCTTCCTTCCTCCCTCACTCTCCAGGATGTGAGCTACCAAAGCTGCCACCAACACACACTCCTAAGAGGAGCCAGGCCTGGGACTCCGAGCACCTGCAGTGGGAGCATGGGCAGGGAAGCCAACTCCTCCCTTGGGCTACAACACAGGGACTCCCTAACGAGGTGGGCAGTGGGGAGAGAGGACAAGCTATTCTTGTCTTCAGGGCTCCACCTGGACTCTCCCTCACATGCATGGGCTCAAAGAGAAGGTGCCAGCCCCTCTTTGAGTCCTGAAGCCCCAGATGGTCAGAAGTCTTTCTTCAGCAATACAGAAGAACCAGAGGCTCCTCATCTTGTCCTTAGGGGAAAAGCAATCACCATCATCCTGTTTTCCTCCTTCAAAATAACTGAACTTTCAAGGGAGGACTGAAAGGAATCGTGCTGTATTCAAAGCACAAAGACAAAAATGTACCACGAGTGTGACTCTCCAGGGTATCATGAAACCATCACCAAGAAACCCAAACCTTCTCCTTACCTCAAAACGTGCTGTCTTCCCCAGCTCTGAAGGAATCTGACCTCTCTCCCACCCACCCATGGCTCTACCCTGGTTCCAGTCAGACATCTGAGCATGAACCTCACCCTTGGGGAAGCAGCTGCTCTCCACAGCTTGCCTGGTCTTCCTGCCACCCTGGGTCAACAGGGAAGCAAAGGACCTGGGACCTGCAGGTTCCTGCCTCTGAGCTGAGTCAGGAGAGGATAAGAAGGAACGCCAGAGCAGAAGTCTCCTAACTGGGGCCTGGTCTGTTTCTTCACACGGTTGCCTGGGCTGGATTTGCTATAAACCCAAAAAGCAGTGTTTCAAGAATGCCTCCAGGATGGGGGCCAACAAGTGATGTAGTGGTTAAGGCGCTAGATTGGAACATGGCTGACCATGGGTCAAGTCCCAGACCTGGCATTGTGAAAATAATACCAAGTGTGTGTTCATGTGTATGCATGTTCAAAGTCCTGAGAGAAGAGTAAAGGAGAAAGGATTGTGGTGTGGGCATCTTCCCGGAGGGGGGTGGGGAATGCTTCCAAGAGCTTGGATTCCAACTTCCGGCTGAGATCAGCCTCACACCCCTGGCCTGCTGGAGCCACAGTACAGGCGTGAGGTGGTGCAAAGTGCCCTGGATGTTCTAGGGGTTGGAGCTGGGAGGCAGTAGCCTCAATCTTCTCCACTAGTGGTCTCTGCACAGAATGACAACAGCTGCCATGGAGTGGAGGCCTTCATCATGCCAGGCCCATGCCAGATCTTTACCAGCATTCTCTCTAATGCTGGTGATGGCCTACCTGGATAGGCCCTAGTTCCCCCATCTTACAGATGTGGAAAATGAGGTTCGGAGAGGTGAAGTCATTTGCCCATGGTCAACCAGTTAGAGATGGGCAAAGTGGGCTTCATACACAGGCCTTAAAGTGAGCGTTACACCTGAACCTAATGGAATTATAGCCCTCCCCAGAAGATTGCTCTCCATTTGAAGCTGGGAATATCTTGAGTATCTTCTGTTTGAAGTCCTCAAGCCCATGGCACATCCTTCACTTCTCACCACAGCCCCTGCATGGTCATGCTTTGCTTTTTCATAGTTCTGGTCCACTGACCCTACGGCAGGCAACCCAGTCCTTGAAATGTAAACTCCCTTTGGTTAAAGGGAGATTCCAAGAAGACATCTAGCTTTGGCATTGCTAGTTTATGTAACATGATGCTTCTTAAAACTCCCAGTGTCACCAGGCAGGGCAAGCGCTACTCTCTCCGTATTACAGGTGGACAAACCGAGGTCCGGGGTATTATTAAGTGATACGCCCAGCATCACGCAGCTACTCAGTGGCAGAGGCAAAACTAAAAGCCTGGATCTTCACACGCACCCAGTGATTCTGACTCCTTCCCTAGGTCTCAAAGAAACCAAGTTGGAGCTTACCTACCCCACCCCCTTTTTTAACACAGAAGGTGATGAATGTCACTTTGGAGACTTGGTGCTATGCTGACAGTGCCACCCATAAGCTGACGTTGCTATTCCTGTTTTTCAGAGAAAGAAATTGAGGCCTCCAAAAGATGAAGGGATTGGGCCCATTCTGCAGGGAGAGACAAAACCAAGAAGAGAACTCTAAGGCCTTCCAACATCACTCCAGAGCCCTGAACGCCCCACAACTGTGGGCAAGTTCCAGCACTCCACGTTGTCTTGGGAGACTCAGACCACCCTCAGCTTCTGCCAGCTGAGCAGATGTGGCTGGAGATAGAACAGGGCTACCCCGTCATCTGCATTTCTGTGGGGAAAGGATTGCACATATTCCAGAGGACTGTCAAGTAGGAGAGCCACAGTTTGCAGCTTCAAATTTGCTTTTTTAACTTTCATGCCATTGTGGTATTTGAGATCATTTGGGGAATTACTTTTTTTCTAAATTTAAATAAATCTCAAAACCAGTCATTGCAGAGCCTTTGAGGATACCCCACTTTGGATTCTGTGGGAGGAGAGAAATCCCAAGTAGTCAGAAGTGGAAATGTGCCTCTCTGATGTGAACCTCCCTGAGCCTTTAGAATCCAGCCAGCTCACTAACCAGCAGGGGAAGGAAATATCTTACAGGGAAGATGGAAATCCCATCTGGACAGGGGCCCTTTAAATGAGATCATTATGTATGCGTGTAACTCACTCTAAGGCCACAGACCCCTGCAGAAGAGTGACCCCCGTCTCTTTCCACAGGTCAGTCTGCAAAGGAGTGAGGAGACCAACACTGCTGGCTCCCTGCCAGACTGCCCAGGTCCACCAGCCAAGAGCAATCAGTGGGGGGAGGATGGCCCTGCAGAGTGCAGAGCCAACACTGCAGCCTGGCAGAAGTGGCCCAACTAGCCCAAGGTCTCTGGGGGCTTCTTCAGGAGCTGAAGGACTAAAAATAACCGGGCCTTTGTTGTAAGCAGCCCGACCACAGAGATGGAGCTGATTTCAGGGAAGCCGAGCATGCGCGGGGTCTCGTTTACAGAGACCTGCCCTTTGGGCAAATGATTTTTCCAGAATTGTGTCAGTTATTGTGCTGCTGCTGTGATTCAAAGACAGCCCAAACCGCTCCAGCCCACGGGGCTGTCTTCCAACACAGAGTTCTTGGAATCTGAGACTCTCCACTTCTTTCTTCTAGAAACGCTTTTTGAAATCAAGAATTGGGCACTTCGGGGGAGCTTAGGAGACAAAAGCGGCTCTCAGAGCTGAGAGTTCTGAATCATTGTCCCCTGATTACAAATAGTCACACATCCCTAATTATTTGTTTAGGTAGCAATCATTTCTCCCTCATCCCAAAATTTCCAGTCAGATCTCCGTAGACAATTGCAAATACACCCCAAGTATAAGGAAGAAATTACTTTGGAAAGGAATCCATAGTGTTGCATTAATACTGAAGCGTTTCTCAAATTGCAGTCCTTTGTCTCCAACATTCGGACATCTGATTGGACAGTCTCTGCTCACCTTCCTGGTTCCTGACCCTGCACCTAGACCCAGGTCTGTTGGGAAGCAGAATCTTGAGCATCTTCCTCTGTCCATGCACTGTGGTTTGTCTCACTTAAGGATGCCCCAGCTCAGAAGGACAGGGAACCAGCATGGTCCTTCGTAAAGTCTCTCCTGATGGATGACAAATACTGACTGGCTATGTGGGGACTTCGCATTATTTTCACAATGTCTCCTCCCAGCTCTCAGTGCCTCTACTTTCCTCCGCATCCCCCATATCAAAGGAACTAATGCTGTGGATCAAGACCATCCTGGCTGTGGATGTCACTGCTGGAGTTCAAAGCCACTCTTCCTCTTTGAAGAGAAAAGGAACAAGAAAGGACTTCAAGGCTCTGCCTTCAAGATGGCTTCCAGGCCCCAAGTCTAGAAGTTTCCATGAAGGCTTGTCATAAACAACAATTTCTCTAAACCCTTTGTTTCTCTAGTGAGAGTTTAGGGTGAAGAATCTAGGCTGGATGTGAGGAAGCTGTGTGAAGATTTCTAAGAACACAATAGATTTAAAAAAAAAAAAAAAACACCAAACTACACACAAATGATTGGTGAGTGGTCACAAAATGGCTTCCCTTAAAATGGGAACCAGCAAGGGGTTGCGGTGCTAGGTGAAAAGGAGAGGGGTTCCACAGAGCTGGGACCAGGTTGTTCTTCAAAAGTGCTAGATCCTTCTGGTAGGTGCTAGCTGAAGCACCATACGTGTGTCGTGGGGAGGTAAGGGAGGTATCTCGCCCTCTCGTGCCACATGTCCAGGCCCCTCTGTGACTGTTTTCCTTACATTGGTGTATCTGGATATGTGGGAAGAGGGTTCAGTCTGGTTTGATCTGAGCTCCAGCTCAGCCTCTCCAGCAGCAAGTCACGTTCTGTGACCTGGGGTCCTAGGCCTGGCAGCCAAAGGCTGAGGCTTTTTCTTTGAGCAGTTCCCAGCACAAGTGGCAGCTCCAGCTTCCTACAAGAAAGAAGATGGTATTAGTGGCAGCCCTACCACTAACTCTTGAGCTTTACCCGCAGTGGCCCAAACTTCTTACAATCAAAAAAAAATTGACTATTCAGAGACCGAGCCCCAGTCCTGAAAACATGCTTGGAGTCTATTGCTCAGCAGAAAGGAAGAGCTCAGAGGTGATTGCTAAGCTGTTGTAAAGCCCTTCACTCTTAAACCATGCCTCCTAACTGGCATCACCAGGCCTGGGCCAGTTCCCCTGGAAGCTCACACCTCCCCGCCCTCTCAGCTACACGTCTGGGAAACATCTCCTTGGCCCTCAAGTTGAAATGTCAGCTGGTTGAACTGTGCCTCAGTTTCCTCATCTGCAAAGTGGTAGTAGTCATACCTACCTCAGAGGGTTGTGATGATTAAATGAGATAAGACATGTAAAGCCCTTAGCACAAGGCCTGCACCATAGTGAGGGCTCAATAAGTGGTAGTAGCAGTAGCTGTTGCTGTTGTTATTGTTGACCTCATCATCATTACCTTCTGGAGGCTCAGCCACTGGGGGATTTAAACAGTACATGTGATAGCCGCGGTCACAGTCATCGCAGAAGAGTAGCTGGTCCTGGTGGATACAGAGCAGGTGGACAGGAGGAAGAGAGATTATTCGGGGCTGGTATCTGGCCCCCACCTAATATTCCAACCTTATTTCTGCAGATTAACCTCCCTGGATGCCCCTTTCCAGGCCCCGTTTGGAGTCCTCACTGTCTCCTGAACAAATATTGACTGGCTAAAGCAGTCAACATCCTGCCAGGCCCACACCTGAAAATTCTCTCTTTACCTCCAACCTATTGAAAATTCCACCCCTACTTTAGGGTTCTGTTCAGTTCACATCCCCTCCAAGAAGCCTTCCTTGACTACCACCTCACACATGAGTTTAAAAGGATTCCTTATCTTTCTGAACTCTCACAGCCAATAACTCTGCTTCCAAAGGGCAAAAAAGTAATTTTATGCATTTCTCTATTCCCCATGACGATAGACTAATATATAGAAATTACTTGACATATTGACAGTTTTAGTTGAATTCCTCAGGACCCCATTCTTTCCATCTGTGAAATGGGAAATAGCTGCACTTGGTGGTAACACCCATGATACCTCAGAATCTCTTCAAGGTTTCATTATGTGAAGGTGAAGAAATATAAGCAATGCCCTCCCTCAACTTCTAGAAACCTCCTCACAGGCTAGAGTCTGGCTCCAAGTAAGAGCAGAACTCCTAGGGCCGTGGTTAATTTCAAAGGATATAGGCCATACCTACGCTCCTGTAGTTTCTTCTGCCTGGAGGCTCTCTTATCCCTAACTGGATCTCTGTGTGTCCGTTCCTTACCTACCCTTCCAACCTTCAAGCATTTCTTTTCCACAGCTTATTTACCTCAACTGGAAGTTATTTCTCTTCTCTTATACTGCCATAGTACTTTCTTGGGACATTGCATTTTCCTTTATGTTCCATACCTAGCATGTGGTCGACATTTACATGTCTGGTTTTTTGAATATTTCATTGGAACATGGTTCTTCTGTCCACCTCTTGCCATCTTTATGGTCTGTAAAGCCCTCGAGGGCAGAACCTTGTCCTAGTCATCTCTAGACTTCTTTGCACATAGAAACTACTCAAAAAGTTTTAGTAATCTGGCCCCATTCCCCAGGTTCAACCTGTTCTAGTCAGTGGCTCCGACAGGATGGTTTAGGAGATCTTTGCAAAATAAAGTTTCATATCAGTTTCCACCTTGGCTCCCACCAGTGGAGAGAGCATAGATAAAATTAGATTTGGATGTTGTAAATCACCAGTGTGCAAGCAGTGAGGCCTTCTTCATGCTAAGAACTGTCAATTGCAACAGTGGAGTTTTTGAAGAGTTATCAACAGAGAAGTGACATGATCGTATTACAGTTTAGAGAAAGCTCGCTAGCTGCTGTGTAAGAGTAGAAACCTAAGTGGGGAGAGGTCTGTTCAAGAGTCTGGGAGACCAATTAGAAAGGAGGGTGTTAAGGCCATCCAGGTGAGAAATGATGGTAGCCTGAACTAGGGTTGTGGCTTGGGGAAAAGAAAAGGGGATTGCTCTCATTTAAGAGTCATGATTAGATGTGGAGAGTAACAGGGAAGAAATCAAGGATGTCCTCTGGGTTGTGGCTTGGTCAGCATGCAGATAATGCACCCGCCCACTGAGATACGGGCAGAAGAGTGAACCCATCAGAGGGAGAGAGCAATCTCAGCTACAGAAGGGTCTATAGATCTACAGGTAACCTTGTAGAGATGGCCTAGAAGCAGCTGGAGATCATGAGACGGTCTGGGTGGGAGATAGAGATTTGGATTCACTGGTGATTAAATGGAAAACAAAGGTCTTAAGAGAGGAAACAGAATCTGTGAACGGTGACTCTGAATTTGTGCTTGTGAAGGGGTGTTCACGAAGCCCTTGAATTTATATGCACAATTTCACAGTAGGTAGAAATATATATTTTTCTGAGGAAAGAGTAAATTCATAGCTTTCGATAAATTCTTAAAGAGACCAAAGGTCCAAAAGGGGTTACTGAGAAGAAGGCCAAGAATCGACTCTTGGAGAACACCAACTTTAAGATACAGAGAGAGTGGAAAAAGAGACTAAGAACCAGCAATCAGAAAGGATACAATAGTTATCTCAAAAAAATGTTGCTTAATTATCATCATAGCTGAAGTAAGACAATACGATTTAGGGATAATTCCAAGAGAGACAAGTAAAGATGGGGACAAAAAATAGGGACAGATTTGTCAAAAACAGTATTACTTAAGCAGGCTCCATAGCACAGGGAGAATATGCTGCTTAAGAAAAGCCTGATTGGGCCAGCAGGTGGCATAGTGGTTAAGATGCTGAACTTGCACGTGGCCACCACGGTTTGAGTCCCTGACCTGACAGCTTGCAACTTGCAAGTGCATGTATGCCCATAATTCCAAAAGGATAATGAAGGAGAAGGGATTGCAGCATGGCCATCTCCCCTAGGGAGTGATTTCTCACTTCCCCCTCTCTGTCTCTCTCTAGCAAAAGCATACACCCTGTGGCAAAAAAAAACTAAAAGAAAGAAAGAAAGAAACTTCTTACTACTAAGTATGGACGAACCAGGGTCCAATGATGTCTACAACTCCAGTGGAAAGGGAGTCCCATTCTGGGATACACAGGATTAATCCTTGACAATGCGAGAGAAACTGTATGCCCAAGAAGCCCCACTCCCCTTGGGCTCCACCAAGTCAATAACAATAACAACAAATTCTCTGCATTAGCCCTATTTGTAAAATCAAATTCCAGAATCAACCTAAATGTCCATTAATAAAGAACTGGTTGAATAAACTAATGAAAACTTAAGTAGCTGTTAGAAGAAATGAAGAATATGTTTAAATATTATTCCAGCATGATATTCAATATAACTAGTCAAAAAAGCAAAATGGAAAAAAATATATATCTGTTACCATTTTTTTAGGGATTCATATGTACACACATTTTTATTTACACAAAATGGAAGGATAAACTTTTTTTTTTAAATGGTCACCTGTAAGCAGAGTGAGGGACTGATTTGGAAATGATGGTGATAGATGATAAAATTCTTAGAATGTGTCATTTCTTTATAGATTTTATTGATAGATGTTAAATTTCTTAGAATGTGTCATTTCTTTATAGATTTTGTTCTGGAACCAGGAAATACTTTTTATCATTATAAAACAAATTTAAGTAATAATTTAAACGTATCCAGTTGGTGGCATAACCACACAGAGAAACAATTCAAAGTGACTTTAAAACAAGTAATTTGTACATCCTTAACAGATATATCTTAAGAACAAAAATACATGAAAATATACACATATTTCTTTTCAGCAGTTGTATTATTGGTGATAATATTGGAACTGATATTCTGAGTCTGCTGTGCATGCATCAAGTGAGTAATTATGTCAGTTATCACAGAGAAGCAAGACCTTGAATATGGTTGAAAGAAGATACAGATACAAAATCAGTGAGGTTAAATCAAAACTCTACAGTTAGTCCTGCCTATGAATTGAAATATCAGTATAACTTCATGGTGTAGTTTAGCTTCAGAACAAACAAAAAATATTTTCTAACTCTGTTCATTGACTGCTCCAAACATGGCCTTGCGGGGGGTACAGGCAGTAGGGCACTGCTCTGCAATGCTAGAACCACATGGAAGACCTTGGTTCGGGTCCCAGGTCTTCCATAATTCTGGCTGAGTGGAAGACTGGAGGAAAATCAGTGTGATAAGACCCTGCCGAGCATGCCTGTCCTCTCTCTCTCTCAATCAATAAAATAAACTTTAAAAAAGAGGAAAATGTAGAAGTGGAGAGGGGTGTAGTGGTTGAGGCTCTGGACTCTTGCATGACCAACCACGGTTCAGGTCCTGGGCCTGGCAACATGCTTTCTCACTTCCCCTGCTCTCTCTGGTCAAATTTTTAAAATAATGATAATAAATAAAATTAATAATCCTTTTTTAAAAAAGGAAAATGTCCCAAAACTATAACTAACACAGTAAAAAAATAAGCATATCTAGCACCCATATTATGTTCTCTAAAGACAACTGCCTACTAACAGGAATGAGCATTGCTTAAAGCACCAGATCTGGTGCACGGAATGTACAGATAACTTTACAGCAAGGAAGCTATCAGAAGATACTTTTAGGATCTTGTCAAAGGACTCAGGATCCATCCTGAATATGTCCCATCCAACCAAAGATGGGACAATTTTAACTGTAATGGATCTAAACAAGTAAAATATATTTAAATCTTGGAGTTCATATATTGTTTTTAAAGAATTATTTATTTAATTTAGTTATCATTATTATTATTTTGCAGTTTTGTTTGTTTGTTTGTTTGACAGCAGGTAAGGGTTGAGGAGCGTCCCCCAAGCCTAACACCCAGTGCTGCCTGGCCACATGGGAAACCTACGTCAGGACTGGCGTCAAGCACCCAGCTAGACATCCTGGGCCGTGGTGCTGACTTTGAGGCTCTTTGCTTACTTTGCCTGGGCACCTTCTCAATGGGCTGCCCAATGTCCTTCCCTCAGAGCTTGAGGACAATGGCTCTCTCAATTTTGCCCAGAACTTGGTTGTTTGGAATGGCCGGTCCACCTTCGTAGTCCGCAATGACTTGAGACTTCTCACTGATTTTCGTGGCCAGGTCCTTCTGCATCAGTCCTTTGCTCTGCCTGCCCTGCTGGATCACCTTGGCTCCCTCCAGGGGCACCCTGTCATGGTGCAGCTCCTCGGTCTCCCAGTCCAGCCTGGCTGCATTCTTGGTGATGGCTTGCTGCTTATTCTGCCCCGTGGCCCTTTTTATTTTTTTTAAGTTTCCACATCTTTTCCCCATCACTGAGTCAAAAAGATGGCCTGCCTGAACTTGGCTCAGGATCCTCATGGCGTTGCAGTCGCTCTCGACCATGGTGGGGTGGCTCCATCCAGTGGCATTATTATTATTGTTTTTAATTTGTTACAGGACACATGTGCTCACCAGAGATAGACAGAGAAGGAGAAAGGGAAAGTGAGAAAGCAAGCCACCAGGTCTGGGATTTGAACTGTGGTCTGCCTTGTGGGACTTGCACC